CAATCCCCTGAGGTCTGGGTTGCAGCGCTGGGGCAGTAAGAAACATGGCAGGATGTGAGAATGATACTGCACTCGGGAGCCCTGGAAGGGTCGCCCCGAGGAGGGCATGTCCAGCTGCATATGGGTCGACACTGCCACTCCCATCCCCAAAAAATCGGTGCTGGACAGGTGGGCAGTCGGTCCGGCGCTCTCACGCGTGAGACAGACTTCCTTACATGGTCCTTCTTGTTTGGGGGCTGTGACCACTACCCTCTCCTGCATAATAAAAAAGGGGGAGCTGTGGAGCGCCCCCGCCCTAACATGGCGCCGAGAGCACCCAGACCTCTACATAAACAAGCCCATATTTGGTTATTGTTCCTGTTCCAGAACGCGTAGGCACTGCCTCAGCCTATCAGTGCTTGCCTGGTGGCAAAAGAGGACTGGTTTGCGGGACGGATATATAGGGAGCCCAGGTGGGCTGAGGAAGAAGAAGAAGATTGTAACACTCCTGGGGAATAAAGCTCGCGGAAGAATCCAGACTCAGCGTCGTCATTGAAGCAACAAGGGGGCCTGTGTGACCTGCACCCAACAGAAAACTCTGGATAATGAGTGTGTAATGATCCTCCCTGAGACCACACTTCACAGGTGTTGCAAAGCCTTGCTGGGAAATGAAGCACATTCTATGTGACTGCAGTAGGAGAGGACTTTGGAAACTTGTGTCTTGTTTTCTCCAGACTGCTCCAGGTACCTTTTCCCCTTATTGACTTTGCTTTGTATCTTTCCACCGCAGTAAACCACAGCAGTGATTATGACAAGATGCTGAGACCTGTGAATTCTCCTAGCAAATCATCAAACCTGGAGTGGTCTTCGGGAATTGCCACATGTGTTTATAAGAAAATGGGATATTGTTTTGTGTACCAAGAGAAAAAGAGGGTAATTTTTGTCTTTAAATGTCAAGTTACTGCAGATTATGAAAAGATAGTAAAAGATAAAAACTCTCCAGCAAATGCACATGCCCTATCAGGGGAAAAATAAACAAACCTTTCAATAAAATAAAAATAAAGATGGTGAACCAGCAGATGGAGTAATGGTTATGTCACTGGACTCCCACGTGGTCAAGCATGGTTCAAGTCCTGGACCTGGCAGCTTAAAACTCACACTGGACATGTGTGCGTGCGTACCCAAAATCCTGAAAGAATGGAGCAGAAGGGATTGTGGTGTGGCCACCCCCCTTTGGGGAGTGATTTCTTGCTTTCTGTCTCTCAGATGAGCTCATGCACCCTATAGCAAAATCTCTCTCTCAAAATAAATAAGAGAAAATAAAAAAGAAAAGAAATAAAAATGATCAAACATGGAAATAACACAAAATACTGGTTATGTGTACTTTGAATATCAAATTGGAAAGTATTCTAACAAGCCTATTTAGGGGTTAGCTGACTTTTCAGGGGAATATAACTTTGTTTGATTTATTACTTACTATTGATTAGGGACAGATTCTGTGAATTCATTGTTGGTTGGTATAAAAACAAAACCAAAACAAAAATTGGTAAGTTCCAAATGATTTAAGGACATACCTCTTTCCCACCCTCAGTCCAGGTTATTTGAGTGGGATGGACTCTACCTTCCCTTGTTCCCAAGTTTACATCCACTCAGCCCTGGTCAGCAAGAGGACCCCATCTCCCAGGCAGAAAACAGTTCGGTGATTAGTGTGACTCAAGCGAAGCTGAGAAGCAGACTTGGTAATTTTGCTCAAGCTGTTTGGAAAGAGGAATTCTCCTTGGAATTATGAATGCTAAGAATCTTAACAACTTGGAATTGCCAGTAGACTGTATTTGTCACCACTGGAGGAGATTGAGGAAAAGATAACCAACAAAGGAAACCAGATCAAAGACAGAGGAAAAAAGTTCTTGGTTTAGCCAAGCCTCAGGCTCTGGCCATGTCCCTCAGATTCTTTTTTTTTTTTTGAGAGAGATTTTCGCTATAGGGCGCGTGCACTCACCAGACAGACAGAGACATAGAGACAGAAAGTCCAGCACTAGAACTGTGGTTGGCCACGTGGGAGTCCAGCTATGTAACCATTACACCATCTGTTGGTCCCAGAGTTCACATATCAAGAATCTGAGGGACGGGAACCAGCAGTTAGTGTAATGGCTATGTCGCTGGACTCCCACGTAGTCGACCGCGGGTCACGTCCTGGACTCGGTGACTTAAAACTCATACCGGGCATGTGTGCATGCGTGCCCAAGATCCCGAGAGGAGAATGGAGGAGAATGTATTGCGGCATGGCCATCCCCCCTGGGGGGTGATTTCTTGCTTTCTATCTCTCTGTCTCTTTCTGTCTGTCTGGTGAGAGCACGTGCCCTATAGCAAAAACCTCTAAAAAAAATTAAATAAATGCATTGCCTTATTTAATTCTCATGAAAATCTTATAAGGAAAGAGGTGATTTATCCCTACTCAGAAAAGGAAACTGAGACTTAGAGTAGTTTTTCAAGATCACGTAACTGCTAACTAGTGGTGGCATAATTGAAAAGTTCATGTTGGTCTTATCTTGTTAGCAAAATTCTGGCCCCAAATGATAGTTTTGCTCAAGCATTTGAAAACACTCCCCCTCCAAATTTTGTCTGGGAGGTGTGGTTCTCACTGAAGACTGAGAGAAAGTGAAAAAGTACTCCCAACCCATGATTGATAATCATGCCATAATCCCTTTTCCTCAGTTTCTCCTTTTGGGGACTTAGGACATACATGCACATGTACCCAGCATGTTTTTCAAGTCACTGGGTCCAAGACTCAAACTGTGTTGTCAGTCATGTGGGTTGGCCTGAAAGAGACAGATAGAGGGAGAAATCACCTCCTAGAAGGGATGGTTGCACTGCAGTCCCTTCTCCTCCATTCTCCTCTTTGGATTTGGGGCACACAAGCACACGTGCCTAGCACAATTTTCAAGCTGCTGGGTCTGGGACTCGAACCATACCATCAGCCATGAAGGGTCCAGCTGCTTTAACCTCCATGCCACCTGCTGGCCCAGTCTGAAAATGTCTGATTAACTTCAATTCTCTCAATGATATGTAGTGACAGCTTATGGTTAGGAGTATTTTGATGCATAATTTCCTATATCTATTACTTTCTCAACCCCAATTCTTTCTCCCTCCACACCCACTGCACCACACACACATACACACACAAATTCCGTAACCTTAAAAATAAATGAGTGATGGGACTACTGAGTTACTGAGTAACACCAGTCTGGCTTGAGGGTAACCACAATGGCTTCAGTTCTGAGTGAAGGGTAAGTTCACCATTATTACAACTTTCCCATTCCAATTCATCTCTCTGCCTGGATAAATCCCTTTATACCTTGACATAGAATGCTCCATAACAGGAGTCAGCAAATATTTTCTTCAAAGAGCTAAATAATCAATATTTTAGGCTTATGAGGATACACAATTTGCTATGAACTGAATGTCCCCTTTAAAACCCACATGTTGAAAATCCAACCTGGGATTGGGAAGTGATGAGATTAAGAGGGTGGAATCCTCATCAGTGGGATTAGTGTCCTCATGAGACCAGAGTTCTTCCCTTCTACCATGTAACAAGGCAAGGAGGTGCCATCTATGAAGCAGGAAACAGGTCCTCAACAGACCCTGAATTTGCTGGTATCTTGGTCTTGAACTCTCAACATTCAGAATGAGAAATAAACTTCTATTGTTTACAAGCTACCTGGCTTATGGTATTTTATTGTATCAATCCAAAGACAGAATCTCTGCTGCAGTTACTCAACTCTACCATTGCACAAAGCAGCCAAAGACAACATGTAAAGGAATGAATGTGGCTGAGTTCCAACAAAACTTTATTTACAGAAATAGGCAGTGGGCCAGAAATGGCCCATAAGTCCAGGCCACAGTTTGTCCACTCCTGCTCTAAATCATCAATACTAACTATTTTTTTAAAAAAAGAATTATTTATTTAATTCCATTTGTTATTTAAATTTGACCAGAGAGACAAAGAGAGAAAAGCAAAGTGAGAAAGTAAACTGCCAGGTCCAAACTCAAACCTCAGTCAACCATATGGGAATCCAGCGCCTTTAACCACCACACTACCTGCTGGCCCCAGTACTGAATACTAAGGTGATGAAAGAGCTGAATTCCTATATGTTGTTAAGCCAGCTATTCTCCTACCTTGACCCTAAGCCATACCAACCCACCTCACCCCCTTCAATGCGCTTGTTGTTGTTGTTCATATCTTTATTGTTATTTCACTTTCATTTCCTATGATTTCCATCATTGCTGGGTTTACACTCTATTCCTCTTTAATGATGGTGCTTTCCACTATAACTACTTCTGTAAACTCTAGCCTTCTCATTTTCCATGATCATACAGCTATGGAGAGGAAATTATAAGAAATAGGATAATGCAGAAGGGGAAGGAGTATAGACTGGTTGCTGGGTGGTCGTGAAAGAAAGGATGTGGGAAAGAAAGAAATCTGTGATCAATTCTATAATTAATTACTTTTTTCTATCATTTTCTATAGTTTTCTTTCCATGTAATATGTAATATATAAGAATAACAATAAAAAATTGACATTTGTACAGTGCTTTACTAAGTATTTATTTGAACTTTTGCTTTAGTGTTTCCAGTCTCACTACTGGTCTTTGGTTACCCATGTAACTTATGCTAATGTATCACTGGTCTCATGTCTTGTCTACCTTCTTTTGGTCTCTGGGATAAAAACCAACCAACCTATAGAGGACAAAAACAACAAAAAAATGTAGGTAAAAATGGAGGCCAGAGAAATGGCAACTTCTTCATGATGGAAAGCTAAGTAAATCACTTGAGGACTGTCCCAGGAGTTGTTCTCCGTACCTGGCAGGAGGGTATACCCTGGTGTTTCACAGTTGCTTCAGTTCTTCTTGACTGGGACCCTAAATATAATGACACATTGAACTCATTAACTTTTGAGACTCAATATCCCTGAGGCATTTTCTCGAGTGACACAGCACAATTTATAGAAAGTTGAGTAATGTAGAGAAATGAAGTCTCCCTGATTCTGACTATAAAAAAATCAAGGATTAATCCAATGCTAAGGATAAGAAAGAGATGTGATCAGAAACTACAGTTAAAATTTTGACCTACTGTCTACTTTAGGGTAACTCCCAGGAAAATGGAAAAAGATGGAAAATCTCCATAGAACAGGAATAATGGTTATCTAAATCTATGACTAATGTAATCCATGTAAACATAATTTAAACCTGCTACAAATACATTTTAGTTATGTTCATCAAATTAGACAGTAGACCTTAGTGGGAGGGAGAAATCCTAAGCAAGTTTCAACTCTTAGCTTTTTTAGTTTTTATGGCTTATAGAAAATAAATGATACCATCTGTATAGTTAGATATCTGCTTTGGATTCAGAAAATAGTTTTTTGTCTACCTGCTGCCAAAGAGATAAGCCCTTAATCTAGCCTAAAAAATAAGAATTTCCTTATAGGGACTAACACATGGCTTAATGGTTACATAGCTGGACTCCCACGTAGTAGACTCGGTTCAAGTGTCAGATCTGGCAGCTTAAAACTCACATTGCGCACATGTGCATGCGTGCCCCAAATCCCGAGGAAAATGGAGGCGAAGGGATTGTGGCTTGGGCATCCCCCTGAGGGGTGATTTCTCGCTTTCTGTCTCTGTTTCTCTCTGTCTCCCTACCAAGCACATGTCCTCTATAGCAAAAATGTGTCTCAAGAAAAAAAAAATTCCTTACAAAATGAGAAGCTATAATAGGGCTGACATGATCATATCATAGGGAGGATCAAATTGTATTGCACAATGTTTACACTGCTATTCATTCCCAGGGATTTCTTGAATTTCCACAAATAGATATTTGGGAGGCTGGGGATTAAATTTTTGAAAAAGAATTATTTAATTTAATTTCTTTATTTATTTTAATTTGACCAGAGAGGGACAGAGTGAGAGAGAGAAAGAAGGAAAGTGAGAAAGCAAGCCACCAGATGCAGAACTCAAACAATGGTCAGCCATGTGGAAGTCCAGCGCACTTAACCATGCCACCTGCCAGCCCCAGGATTAAAATTTTGAGATCTCTGGCTAGAAGTTTCATAACTATCAAATCAAGGACATAAGTAACATCCTGTTTGTGGCTCAAAACTATGTAATATGCAAGTGAAACTGGATGCATATAGAATTGGTCCTGAAGTACACACTACGTGTATCCAACCTAAACACTTGGGTATTTAACACAGTGACAAAACAAACTTACATTTCTTCACATTCAATAGTTTTTCAAGGTTGCTCTTCAGTGTGGATTCTTTGATGTCTGATGAGGGATGAACTGCACTTAAAGCTTTTCCCACATTCATTACATCTAAAGGGTTTCTCTCCAGTATGAGTTCTCTGGTGTTGAATAAGAGCTGATGAGTGAATGAAGGCTTTTCCACATTCACTACATTTGTAGGGTTTCTTTCCAATATGAATTCTTTGATGTTTAGCAAAATTTGAGCTCCGGCTAAAAGTTTTCCCACATTCGTTACACTCATAGGGTTTCTCTCCGGTATGAATTCTCTGATGCTGAACTAAATGAGTGCTCTGACTAAACGTTTTTCCACACTCACTACATTCATACGGCTTTTCTCCCGTATGAACTCTCTGATGCTTAGTAAGGGATGAGCAATGGCTAAATGCTTTCCCACATTCTTGACATTTATAGGGTTTCTCTCCAGTATGAGTTCTTTGATGTTTAATGAGTGCTGATGAATGAATGAAAGCTTTGTCACATTCATTACATTCATAAGGCTTCACTCCAGTGTGAATCAACTGATGCTGCACAAGATGTGTACTTCGATTAAAACCCTTCCCACATTCACTGCATTCATAAGGTCGCTCTCCAATGTGGATTCTCTGATGTATTGCAAGGGATGAGCTTTCTGTGAAGGTTTTCTTGCACTCACTGCACTCAAAGAGAATTCGTGTATGAGTCCGCTGATGTTTAGTTAAATTAGCTCTATGGCTAAAAGATTTCCCACATTCGTTGCATGTATAGGGTTTCTCTCCAGTATGAACTCTCTGGTGTCGAATAAGCACAGAATGGTAAGTGAAAAGTTCACCACAATCATTACATTTATGAGGTTTTTTCTCTTTATAGGTTCTCTGCCTTTTCATTAAGTTTGATTTCTGTTTTGATCTCTTCTCAAGTGCATGAAAAGTATAAGATCTTTTGGGAACTCTGTCTTGAGTGATGAGGACTGACTTCTGACTGAAGTTTTGCCAATATATATCATGCTCATGATCTCTTTTCTCAGGGAGTGAATTCATGTGGGTGAACATTTCTCTCAAGTGCCTCTCCTGATTGCCCTGCTGATTCTCTAACCACTTTTCACATTCGAGAGCTGTTTCCAACTTGGAGTCATAGACATTATTCCTAGTCAGTCTGTCTATTAGTGAAACCTGGCATGATTCTTCTTTCGAACAATCTTGCAGGGAAGTCGAACCCTTGCTCTTGAGTGTAGTCTCCACGTCTGAAAGACATTGCAAATGCAAATTTCTTTTGTTTTCTGTGCTCAACAAAAAGGTAGCTCTGTAATAGGTAAGAGTTAATGAAGGTGAAAAGCATGCCTTCAAGAAGTAAGTACAATAGCTTTGACTCTTATTAGGTTATTTACAAAGAGAAGCAAATGAAGGAAAATGATTACTCAGTATATGCAGAAAAAATAAGTATACGCTACTAGGACAGTCAGAAGAGGAGAAAAATGATCAGAAACAGAAGAGCTGGGAGGAACGATACGAATGATGTAATGAATCAGTGGATGAACAAGCAATGAGCACAGAAGATGAGAATGGGGGAAACATTTTTTTAAAATAGAGTACCTACTGCTGTAATAGATATCCAATATTATTGTTATAATTATCATGGCATAGTTATGACTTCTAAGTTTCCAAAGTTTCAGTCCTACTCACGTCCAAATATACATTCCATTGGCAGTTTTTTCCCCCCCTTTCAGTTTTGCTATAGGACACGTGCACTTGCCAGAGAGAGAAGGAGAGTAAGAAACACTCCCTTGGAGGAGATGACCACACCCAGTCCCTTCTCCTCCAGTCACTTCGTGGGATTTTGGGCATGCATACACATATGCCCAGCATGTTTTCCAAGCTGCCAGTTTGGGACTTGAACTGTGAGGTCAGCCATACAGATCCAGCCACTTTGACTAGACCATTAGCTGACCCTTTATTGCCAACTTAATCTTTCTTTCTTTCTTTCTTTCTTTCTTTCCTTTCTTTCTTTCTTTCTTTCTTTGAGAAGTTTTTGCTATAGGGCATGTGTGCTCACCAGAAATACAGAGAGCAGAAAGTGACCATCCCAGGGGGGATGGTCACGCCCCAATTCCTTCTCCTTCATTCTCCTCGTGGGATCTTGGGCATGTACACACACATGCCTGGTGTGAGTTTAAGCCACCAGATCCAGGACTTGAACCATGGTTGACTACATGGGAGTCCAGTGACATAGCCATTATGCCAACTGCTGGTCCCACCAGTTTAAGCTTTCTAACACTGTTTTCATAATATGTCCATGTTAAAATATCTCCTATGGCCTCCCAAAGACATAATGGAAAATACACAAAATATATGCACAAGGCTATTCATTGCAATACTAATTAAAGTAGCAAAGACTGGTAATATCTTAAGTGTCCTATTATAGAGAAATAATTGAATAAATGATAGTGTATACAATTATGGAGTATTCTGCAAGTTTTCAAAAATTAAGAAAGATCTCTATGTATTACTGTGAAGTGAGGTCCAGACTATATCAAGTAAAACAATTTTTTTGAGGGATTTTTGCTATAGGATGTTTGCACTTGCCGGAGAGACAGAGAGAGATAGAGAGACAGAAAGTGAAAAAGCACCCCCCAGGGAGGATGGCCACATTGAAATTCCTTCTCCTCCATTTTCCTCTCAGGATTTTGGGCAGGCGGGTGGATGGATGGATGGACGGACGGACAGACAGACACACACACCCAGCATGAGTTTTCAGCCACCAGGTCTGGTACTGTCACTGTGATGAGACATGTGCGAATCCAGTGCCTTAACTACTTTGCCACCTGTTGGCCCCTGCTTTTATTTTTAAAGAGGTGCAGGCATTACACTGCTATGCAATACTCAACCCACGTCCGACTCTCAAAGAAATATAAACACACTGAGCATGTGGTGCATGTCTATATTCTGGCTAACTGAGAAGCTGGAGTGGGAGGTTGTCAAAATCACAAGACCCTGTTGAAAATACCTGTAGCTCTATGTCGGTTGACTACGTGGGAGTCCAGCAACATAGCCATTATGCTAACTGCTGGTTCCCCCAAAAAAGCAACAACCTATATAAAAAGATGTAACATCAAAATTTAAAAATTTTATGTTAAAGTTAACCTAGCATCAAAATTTTAAAATTCTTGGGACTAGCAGTTGGCATAATGGTTATGTCACTGGACTCCCATGTAGTCAACCTAGTTTGAGTCCTGGACCTGGTGGCTTAAACTCACACCGGGCATGTGTGCATGTGTGCCCAAGATCCTGAGAGGAGAATGGAGGAGAAGGGATTGTGGCATGGCCATCTCCTCTGGGGGGTGATTTCTTGCTTTCTGTCTCTCTGTCTGCTATAGAGCGCACACGCCCTATAGCAAAAAACTCTCAACAAAATTTTTTTAATTCTATATGCTGATTTGTAATGCTACCTGTCTTGTATTAGTACCTAAAATGTATAAAGAATTCCAACAAATCAAGAGAAAGACATGAACAGCCCTAATTTTACTTTAAAAAACACTTTAAGAATTATTTTTTATTTAATTTTATCCATCTTTTTTTTTTTTTTTTTTAATTTGACCAGAGAGAGACAGAGAGAGAAAAAGTAAGAAAGCAAGCCTCTGGATCTAGGATTCAAACCCCAGTCAGCCACATGGGAGTTCAGCACCCTAACCTCCATGCTACCTGCCAAACAGCCCTAACTTTTAAAATAGGCAAAAGGTAGCAACAAGTAATTTAGAGCAGAGAAAACCTAAACAGGCAACAAACACAAAATGCTCAAACTTACTCAAATTTATCATTCAGAGAAATACAAATTTACAAACATGAAATATTTTACAACCATCAGACTGACAAAAACAAAATTTGATAACGTCAACTGTTGACTAAGATGGTGGTAGGAACTTGATAGCTTAGTAATGTTAAACATCTGATACTTTAAAACCCAGTAATATGGGGCCAGCAGGTGGTTAAGGGAGCTGGACTCCCACATGGCTAACTGCAGTTCGAGTCCCGAACCTGGCAGCTTGCTTTCTCACTTTCTCTCTCTCTTTGCCCCTCTCTGGTCAAATAAAAAAATAAAAATAAATAAATAAAGTTAAATAACATAATAAATAAATAAAATAATTCTTTTTTTTTTGAGAGGTTTTCGCTATAGGGCACGTGCATTCGCTAGACAGACAGAGAGAGACATAGAGACAGAAAGCAAGAAATCACCCCCCCAGGGGGGATGGTCACGCCGCAATCCCTTCTTCTCTATTCTCCTCTCAGGATCTTGGGCATGCACGCACATGTGCCTGGCGTGAGTTTTAAGCCACCGGGTCCGGGACGCGAACTGCGGTTGACTATGTGGGAGTCCAGCGACATAGCCATTACACTAACTGCTGGTTCCCTAAATAAAATAATTCTAAAAACAACAACAAAAACACCCAATAATAACTCTTCTATTTATCTACCCTAAACCTACTCTCCAGATAAATACAGGGTCAATAAAAGGATGATCCTTGCAACTCTATTACTAACAAAAAGTAAAAATAAAATGGTTCACTTTACTCACACAATGGACTCATTCCACAGTAGTTAAAATGAACAAACATGGTTCATATGTATTAACATAAATTAATATCAAAATACAATGTGAAGTTTAAGAAAAATAGATCACAGAAAACATAATAAAATATATTTTCAATATACGTATGTCTTTTGTGTTGTGTATGCATGTATACATATACATATGCATGTAAACACTGGAATAATTCAAACCACATCAACATGTAGTGGTTATTCTAGGAGAGAAAGAGAATGAAAGGCCTTTAACTGAATCTGTAATTCTTTTTTCTTCAAAAGCACAAGATAAACACCCCTAAGATTAGCTAAAGAAATCAGACAATATTAAGTGTTAATAAGCACGTGGAGTAACTAGAATTGGTATGATAACTTTGGAAACCTCTTTGCCAGTAACTACCAACAATGAACATACAATTATTCCTATGAATCAACAATTCTATTATGTACATATCCAACAAAAATATATGCATATATATGTTTACCAAAAGACAAGTTAAAGAAAAGTTTCATAGCAATACTATTCATATAGCCCCAAACTGGACACTTTGTAAATGCCCATCTTTAAGAGAAGAGATAAACTAGTATATAGACATAATGAAAGACTGTGTCATGACAATGAACAAACTACTACAATGACAAGCAACAACATGGAGATACCTCATGGCTCAAGTTCTGTGAAGGAAACCATTCATAAAAGTATATACAATTGGATTTATATAATGTTCAAGAACACTCGAAATTAACATAATAGTGTTACCAGCTAAGATAATGTTATCCTTGGAAGGAAGGAGGTAACAAAGAGCACAGGATACTTCTAGATGTGCTAATAGGGTTATTTTCTTGATCTGGGCACTAGTTACATGAACATGGTCAATTTGTGGAAATTTATATAATTGTATTATATATCTTATATTGCCCCAAAGGAATTGGAAGAAAAGAGACAAATGAGACAAAATAATAGCATGTCTTAAACTGGTGATAGGTACAGGAGTGTTACTTTTTGGACTTCTGTATGTATTTTTTTTTTTTTTTTTGAGAAGGTTTTTTGCTATAGGGCATGTGCGCTTGCCAGAAAGACAGAGCGAGACAGAGAGACAGAAAACGAGAAATCACTGCCCAGGAGGGATGGCCTCGCTGCAATCCTTTCTCCTCCATTCTCATCTCAGGATCTTGGGCACGCACGCGCATGCACCCAGCATGAGTTTAAACCACTGAGTCCAAGACTCGAACCACAGTTGACCACATGGGAGTACAGTGGCATAGCCATTATGCCAACTGCTGGTCCCTGTATGCATTCAAGATACTGTAGAATTTAAAATAAAATATTCCACAAATATGGAGATGTACACATTTCCAATATTCTTTCTTAATCATTGAAAAGTGCTACATCTTCACTATCCTGCTAGATCATCATTTCTGAAGACGCCTATCTGTTTGACTCACCTGAACAGCTGCTTTTAGGGGCTTTTTTCTCAAGCTTCAATGGTTCTTTTCCATTCTCCAAATCATAGTTTTCAGGTTTGGAAACTGGTAGCCCTGTTCATTCAAAATAAATGAGAGAAAAGAAAAGAAAGAAAGAAAGAAATGGGGCTTAGGTAGTTTTGATGGACACAAGGGTTTATATTGGAATATAGTCCCAACCCCTTGATCAGAAAAGAAATAAACATTACAGGAAGATGTGGACTAAGGAAAGATGGACCTCTAAATGGAGCTTAATATATCTCCATTAAAAGTCTGGGCCCGTTAGGAGTTAGACTGAGTTTGTAAAGACAACTGCTTTTGTCTGTCAAGAGAATTTCTCATGATTTTCTTATTGTGTAAAGAAATTTCAGAGATGTTGCATATTAGTTCATACTCTATGAAAAAAGGTGGAAAAAGTGAGACCTCAGTGGCACCATCGCAAATTTAAGACTGCAGTAACTAGAGGTGTTTTTTGTTTGTTTGTTTGTTTGTTTTGTTTTGTTTTGTCTTCTGATGTTTTTCTTCTCTTCCTTCTTCAGAAACTAGAAATTACTTTCTTCTTTTTTGTGTTATTTTTTTTCCCCCAAAGTTTTGCCACAGGGTGTGTACACTCACTGAAGAGAGACAGAGAGAGGGGAAAGTGAGAATCATCCCCTGAGGGAGATGGCCACACCACAATCCCTTCTCCATTTTCCTCTCAGGATATTGGGCATGCACATGGCCAGCATGTTTTTCAAGCTGCGGGGTCTGGAACTCAAACCATAAAGTCGGCCATGTGGGATCCAGCTGCCTTAACTGCCTTGCCATCACCGGGCCCTCTTCTCTTTTTAAAAATGCATTTACTGGGGGCAACCAGCAGTTAGCGTAATGGCTATGTCGCTGGACTCCCACGTAGTCGACCATGGTTCGTGTCCCGGACCCGGTGGCTTAAAACTCACGCCGGGCGTGTGTTCGTGCGTGCCCAAGATCCCGAGAGGAGAATGGAGGAGAAGGGATTGCGGCATGACCATCCCCCCTGGGGGGTGATTTCTCGCTTTCTGTCTCTATGTCTCTCTCTCTCTGTCTGTCTGGTGAGCGCACGCGCCCTACAGTGAAAATCTCTCCAAAAAAAAAAAATGAATTTACTGGGGACCAGCAGGGGGCATAGTGGTTAAGGTGCTGGACACTCTGCATGGCCAACCATAGTTCAAATCCTGAACCCAGCATTATGCTTTCTTACTTTCCTTATCTCTCCCTTTCTGTGTGTCTCTTTGGTCAAATTAAAAAAAAAAAAAAAAAAAAAGAATGAATGACTAAGTAAAGCTAAATAAATAATTCATTTTTTTAAAAAATGCATTTACTTACTTAAAGTTTATTTATTTATTTCTTCAATGAGCAAGAGAAGACAGAGAGGGGAAGCAACAGAGACAGTGCCCTCAGGGTCTACATGGCATGACCTATCCCCAGCCTCAGCCATCCCAGATCATGGGCACTGTATACCTGGTGTGTTCAGGGAGGTCTCTGAACATAAACTTCCCAGGTGAGTCAGCCTTGCAGAGAATTGTTACTGCCGTGCCACTGTCAGGGCCCTACAAAAGTTACTTTAATTTTCTTTCTTTTTTAAAAATTTGCTAATGGAGACAGAGAGAGAGAGAGAGGAAGGAGGGAAATTAAGAAAGCACACTCTAGTAGACTGGCCATACCACAAGCCCTTCTCTTCCTTTCTCCTCTTGAGATTTTTGGGCATGTCATGCACATCTACTCGGCTGTTTCAAGTTGCCAGGCCTAGGACTTGAACCGTGCATTCGGCCATGTGGAACCCAGTCACTTTAACCAACACACCACTAGCTGGCCCAGAAGTTACTTTATTAAGGAATTTGATATGTGAGGTTTTTCAGGGGGGCTGCCACTACATGAATACATGCATGCACGTGTACTAACACACACACACACACACACACACACACACACAGAGCATGGGCACAAGATGCAGCGCTGGCTTGAGATTACTTTATCTCTGTGGCTCCAGTGATAATTTCAATGGCAGGCATGACTGTTTTTGCTGAAACTCCTGAATAGAAACTTTTCTCTCCTTTTTTTGTATAGCTTTCTAACTAGAAGAATAATGTAACCATAGCATTATGCTATGGTTTAGATGTGGTCTGTCCCCTCCGAAACTCATGTTGACATTTGATTCTCAGTAGGGCGATCATACTGGGAATGAGAGGTGATTGGGTGATTAGGTCTCTCAGGAGTAAGTTAGTAAGAGAGGGATGTCATGAAAGAATGTGCTTGGCCCACTCTCGCTTTTTCCACACATTTCTTGCTCTCTCACAATGAGATGCCCTCTGCCATACAGCTCTAGGCCCTCCACAGAAGCTGACCAGAAGCCTAATCCTGACCTTCTCAGCCTCTAGGACTGTGAGCCAAACTAAATAGCTTTCCTATATAAACTACCAGTTTCAGGTATTAAGTTAAAACAACAGAAAACAGACTAACACAGGCTGCCAATAGCTGTCCTAGTTACATGAGGAGGTCCTAAACATAAAGCTAATTTAGGGCAAAATCAAGTCAGTTGATTAAAAATAAACAAACAAACAAACAAAATGAAACTCCTGATAATATATTGGGTTGGCGGAAAAGTCATGACATATTGATGCATCATTACTTTTCCGACAACCCAATATTTGATTGCCTGACTCAAGGCTTTTTTCTCTTTCAGCTAGTATGAATTAGGTTTCAGCCACTTGAATCCGAAGAATCCTGATACAAAACGAGCATAGACATTCTACCAAGAATCTAGAGCAGGAACAGATTTTTCTCTAGGCCCCAAAGAATTAAGTCTATGATTTGAGAGTGCAAAAGTGAAGGCTTTGTTAAGCTATCACCCTTGTGATAAAGTAATGATGTCCCTATAAACAGATTTCAGGTTCACAGTGAAAATCTGTCCTTACAGAGTGAGACCAGGTTCCTATAGTTCTCCAGCATCACATCCCTTTGTTCGGGATCCAGCTTCCCCCACTCCTCTGGCGTGAAGTCCATAGCCACATCCTTGTATGTCACTGTTGCCTGAAACACAAAGCATATAGTTAGTCACCATCTTTCACTTGATAGCCTTCCCCTAATCTCCCAGTGACTATGATAAGTCACAGGTATTCTAATAGTGCTCAGATGTTAAATATTCTATACATGAAGTCACTGGGTATCAATTATATGTTAGGCGTACTGTCTAGATTCAATAAGAAAATCAAAAGAAATAAGACTATGGTTACTCTATTGAGATATCATAATTTTTTTTTTTTTTGTGAGAGGTTTTTGCTATAGGGCGCGTGCACTCGTCAGACAGACAGAGAGAGACAGAGAGATAGAAAGCAGGAAATCACCCCCCAGGGGGGATGGCCACGCCGCAATCCCTTCTCCTCCATTCTCCTCTCGGGATCTTGGGCACGTACGCACACGCGCCCGGCGTGAGTTTAAGCCACCGGGTCCGGGACTCGAACTGCGGTCGACTAGGTGGGAGTCCAGCGACATAGCCATTACGCTAATTGCTGGTCCCGGGATATCATAATTTTTCAAGGAGATAAAGTATTAAATATAAATCAGTAAGTCAAACATATAGTGTGGCAAAGTAAACAAAATATAGGCAGGGAAAACAAAGGTATGTCTGTATGGTGTCCCTGTGAGTCCTTAATAAAACCTAAACAATCAATCTAGCCAACCAGATGTTGAATTGTGACCAAAGGACTTATGAATAGAAAAGTCATAGAATGAAAAGACTAGAGATGAACACCAAGTCCAGTTAAACATGAAAATAAATCAAGGCAAAAAGCATTAAATTGGGGATCAACAGGTGTCATGGTAGTTAAGACACTGGACTCCCATGTGGCTAACTGAGGTTTGAGTCTAGAACCTGGCAGCTAGCTTTAAATAAAGCCATAAGAATGGGAATAATATGCTAAGGTTGCTGAAATAGATATATGCCAAATGCTATAAGTGGAGAGAAAATGCCTTGTATGTAAACATGAGTCATTTGCAAAAAGTAGCAAAGTAAATTTAAGAGACTCCAAGACATAAATAGAACAGAGCAATAACTGATGAAAACTGAAAAAGGATACTGGAATATCAAAACAATAATGAAATAATGCAGAAACCAATGTCAACTACAATGTACACAGAGGAAATTTTGTACCTCTAAACACTTTCATCTCATTAGAAAAATAATGTAAATAGATGAGCTGAGTATTCAAGTCAGACTATTAATAGAAAAAGAACAGCAACAACAAACTAAGAATAACAGAAAGAATTACAGGGTAAAAACAGAAGTGTTGAAATCATGAAATTAAAACAACTGAGAAATCTGAGTAAGGGCAACAGATTATAGTATTATACCAATGTCAATAAAGTAATATTGCCCTGATTTTAGAAAATGAAAATAATAAAGCAAAATAAATTATAACTTTGTAGACACTGGATGAAAAGTATATGAGAAATCTTTTTACTATTTGCAACATTTTAAAGTAAAGTTTCCAAAGATGGAAATAATTTGAAATTTAAGAAATAAAAGAATCATCCTCTGAAAATAAAATAAAAGACTAAGTAGCCACTTAGTAGAAAAAGCTTTATACGGAAAAATGACCTTGATTCTAGAATCTTCAGATACATAGCTAAATTGACATTCAGTGGAAACTGTCAAACAGAAGAAAAAAAATCAGAATAAATCCTTATACAAAATAGGAAACAGAATTATAAAAATCACATAACAAGGACAATTTAAAATAAACATATTAAAAGTGAACAAGTACCTTCCCCCTATAAAAATATTTTGTGGACCAGCAAATAGCATAATGGCTACATCACTGGACTCCCATGTAGTCACAGTTCGAGTCCTGGACCTGGTGGCTTAAACTCATGCTGGGTGCATGTACGTGCATGCCCAAGATCCCAAGAGGAGAATGGAGAAGGGATTGAGGTGTGGCTATCCCCCTGGGAGGTGATTTCTTGTTTTCTGTCTCTCTGTCTCTCTCTTTCTGGCGAGCGCACGCACCCTCTAGCAAAAACCTCTCCAAAAAAGAAAAAAAAAATTTGTAAAGGGGCCAGCAGGTGGCATAGTGGTTAAGGTGCTGGACTCTCATGTGGTTGACTGTGGTTCAAGTACATGTGCGCTATAGCAAATCACTCAAAAAAAAAAGAATTGTAAAAAAATCACATACTTTTAATTTTTTAAAAATATTTTATTTAAATTTATTTATTATTTTTAATTTAACCAGAGAGAGAGAGAGAATTAATGTGAGAAAGCAAGCTGCCAGGTCCAGACCTTGAATCATGGTCAGCCATGTGGGAGTCCAGCGCCTTAACCACTACGCTACCAGCTGGTCCCAACTTTTTACAGTATAGTCTATGGAGAGTGGCCATCTTGAACAAACATGGTGACCTTCAGACACATGCAGAAACATGGTTCTGTGAGCTTAATTTGCATAAAATGAAAACAATTAACATATGGACATGCTAGCTGCATGCAGAGTAGTTCAAGGAAGTCACATGTGTTTATCAGAATCAGCCTCAAAAGATCAGAGAAATCACGCGGTGCCTTGTACTATCAGCCCATTAACAACTGAAAAAAACTGGCTTTGCATTCTATTTCTTATTCCCCCCATTTTCTACCCTGTAAAATAATAAACCTGAGACAATTTGGGTTATGGCTTTTCATCAGAGAAGTTGGGCCCACCCAATCCTCATTTTGCTATACTTGCATGTCTTTGTGTGTTTATTTTTATGTTTATTTCTAATCCACAGCGCCCCCACCCTCTGAAAAATGTGTTCTGCCAAGTGGGTCCCGCCAATAGGCTACCCAAACAAAACATATCCCAAAGTTAGGGTTTGGGGATATAATATACCACTTACCACATGTCTGAGTAGAGCAGTGTGAGCTCAACAAAAAATATACATCAGTTTATTTTATCCTCAGTAGGGAGAAGTAGAGTATAGTATTGCCTTTATAGTCCTACATATGTACTGTTCACCTTATTAGAACGACTAAGAACTAAAACTTTAATAGTTAAAAAACATCTAATAAAAGATACGGGCCAGCAGGTGATGTAGTGGTTAAGGGTGCTAGACTCCCACATGGCCGACTACAGTTCAAGTCCTGGACCTGGCAGCTGCTTTCTCACTTTCCTTCTCTCTTTCTCTGTTCTTCTTGGGTCAAAATTTTAAAAAAAAAATAAATAAATAAATAAATAATCAAGAAAAAAATAATAAAATAAAATAATTCTTTAAAAAAAATCTAATAAAAGATAAAATAGCACAGGCAAACTGAAAATAAGTTGCAAGATTAGCATCAGATGAAACATAATAACATGTGAAAAGAACAGAATTTTTTCTTTTAATTTTTGTAAAATGTTCAATTCACCTTGATGCTGTAACAGTCTTGAATCTAATACCAAAGTGTTGAAACGTATCCATCCCTATTCTAGTACCTGTATCCTGATTTTCCTCTAGCCACTATGCCTGAACACTCTTAGTATGTGTAGTTCAAGTGGTGCTGACTGCATCTGTGACTCACAGGTAGCATGTGCGTTTGTACGTGTGTGTGCAGTTATATTCCACAGAGAAAGACACTTAGATATGGTTGATAACTGGTTCAGGAACAGGCCTAATTGAGTGAATCCCAGAACTTCTGCTGAAATGACTAGGAGAGAAGCTGCCCTTTTTCTTAAGCCTTCAACACAGGAAGATGTGAGCCTAAGTTTGTTAGAGGCCAGTATCAGGAGAAAAATCTCTCGAAAGCAAAACCCATACAGAAAAAAAGTCAGCAAAAATGAAGAGAATAGGTCATAGCATTGCTGCTTGAACTCTTACGTAGACAGACCTAGATTTTTGTTATATTAATGAATACTCTTTTTACTGAAGCCAGTTTGAGTTTCCATCAGCTACAATTTAAAGATTAATTACCAACAATAAAGATTTCGAGACTTACATTAAATAGCTGAAGAGGCCAATGGAGACAGGCAAGTCTTCTATATACACAACCCTGAGAAGTCACTTTTACAAACACTACCAATGGGCACCTCGGGGCATCGGAGCAAAGAGAAAGGCCGATGGATGACTTTGGGTTGTGGTATGCCACACGTATCATAGAGAGTTCTTTTTTTTTTCCTATTCAATTTCCTTTATTTATTTATTTTTTTGAGAGAGTGAACACAGGTTTATTAAGGAAAGTGTACAGAGTAATGAATCCACAGGTGGAACAGCCCCATGAGAGGAGATGGGTGAACAGTTTTGTGCCTTCCTCTGAAAGGAAGAGGAAAACTGTTCCTTGAAAGGGAAGATAGGAAGGCTACCCCAGAGGCAGGGGAGCCTCTGCTCAATTTCCTTGACTAATAACATTTTCTAAACATTTTGACATCCTCTAAAATTTAAAAAAATGAACACAATAATCACTCATATAGTACAACTACCATGTAAATCCAATTCTTAGTATTTCCCATATTTGTCTTTTGAAGGGGAGGCAATGGCATAAAAGGAAATTGTAGACATGAATGCTAGGACTTCAGCATTCACTCCAAAGGGCTGAGCTCTAAATCAAGCCATCATAACTTTCCTATTCCAGCACTCCTTTGAACTGACTACTTATTATTTTCATAACTACTTCAGGGTTTAAGGCATGGTCTTCAATTCCTTCTTAAAGCCATATGCACATTGTTTGCCCTAGAGAAGTGTAAGTTTTAGGAAGTACGCATCATATCCCCTTCCAAATAGTTAACCTCATTACCAAGTACAGAAATTAGCATGGTAGACAGAAAAGCTGCTTACCTCTCCATCTAGAACTTATTAAGGACAATACACTCTTAGTATTTCTCATATTTGTCTTTTGACATCTGACATTTACTGAGGACAATAAATACTAGATAGAGAAGGAAAGGACCATGGTTAAGTAAAAAACATTTTCTATTGAGTCTATTACTCTCTGAAATAATTTCAGAGTTAGAAGTCAGCCCTCTACATGGGCTCTAGTAGACAAAACAAAAACAAAAACAAAACAAAAGAACCTCACATCAAAAAGAAAAGTGTGTGTCTGCATTCTGAGAAATAAGGTGGAATTTCAATAATCAGCAGATACTCACCTGGGATCTGGCTGTAAGGCGTAGAGCTGCCAATTCTCCCTGTTCTGTGCACTTCTCTTGGGGAAAGGGAGAATCCTGGGAAGGCAGAACTAAAGGCAAGAATGCAGTAAAGATGGGGCCTAGACCATTTTGACATTTAGATTTATAAATCTGAAAATCCCTCCACTGGGCCAGCCAGTGGCAATAGATAAGGCAGCTGGCTTTCACATGGCCAACTGCAGAGTTCCAGTTCTAGACCCAGCAGCTGGACAAATATGCTAGGTCTGTGTGTGTGGGTACCCAAGATCCCGAAATAAGAAATGGAGAAGGAATTATGCATGATCATACCTCATGGAGGTGGTGCTTTCTCACTTTCTCTCTACTCTCTCCTGGGAGTACACAAGTATTCCCCCCCCCCCAAAAAAAATCCCTCCACCATACTATTTAGATATGCTTCTTTTTAAAAAAAGTATTTATTTATTTTACTGTTATTATTATTTTTTAATTTGACCAGAGAGACAGAGAGAGAAAGGGAAAGTGAGAAAGCAAGCCACCAGGACCAGGACTTGAACTGTGGTCAGCTACATGGGAGTTCAGCACCTCAATCACCACACCATCTACCTGTCCTTTAGCTGTGCATTTTACAAACACCAAGACTGAAGGCAGCTCAAACAAATCATCACCTCTGAGGATCACAGGAAATGTCTGGGAATGCTACTATTCATGGCTTAAACTCATAATTCATAGCTATAATCATAACACATTCTGGAAGATCGCACTCTCTGATCTAAAAATTGGACTATGTCAGTCCAAGTTTATACTAAATTAATACCAGAGTTCAAGGTTTCTCAAAAATTACTCTACAAGCTTGGGGCCAGTAGATGGCATAGTGCTTACATTGCTGGACTTCCACAGGGCACACCACAGTTCCACTGGTGTGTGGAGAAGTAACCAAGATCCCCAGAGGAAAATGGAGAAGGGACTGCAGCATGGCCAATCCTTCCTGGGGGATGATTTCTCAGTTTCCTTCTCACTGTCTCTGTCCCTCTCTGGCAAGCAGTGCACAGGCCCTAAGGCAAAAACAAAACCTCTACAAACAAACAAACAAATAAAATAGACTACACACAAAAGTAATTATCATTGGTTGAGTTTGGAGTGCAGTTTAGAAATCTAACAAGCAATGAAGGGACAGGGATTCTGACATAAAAGATCACAGCCCCAACTTCTAGTAGAACTAAAAGTCAGTTACTGACTTCTATGCCCATTTTCTCGTATGTAAAACAAAAGTATTTGCTCTACTGAAATCATAGGGTCTTTGTGCAAAGTGGGATAACAAGTGTGCAAAAATATTTTTGTCAATCAAAAATGAATTCTCTGGCTCATGGGTGAAGACTAAGATGGGATGATCATTTGGAAAAAGGACGTGTGTGAAAATAAAGTTATGCTCAGGCCCCATAAACTAACATTCAAATGACACTTTCCGGTCGCTTTGAAAGGTCCCTTGTGCTTCCAGTTGAGTGAAAAATGCAGTGATCCCAAATCAAGCCCTTCTTTCATTCTAAAAGCCCATCCGTCCCCAATAAGGGAGGGACAGACAGCCCTCTCTGCCAGAAGCCACCTCTTTCAGGGAACCCTTTGCTCTTCAGGAGGAAGCATTTCGCCCATCCAGGTCGCAAGTTCAACTCCTGAGCATTTCTCACCTCCTTTGTCGGGCATTTCGGCCAAATCTGTCTCCATGATCACCGCCTCCTCCTTGTTCTGAATATTCTGCTCTTCACCCCAACTCAGAGCAGTCACCGAGGCCGGTCCCTCCCGGGCTCTGCAGACGGTCAGGTGAGGTCGGGTTTCTTCCTCACCGCGGTGCCCGCCTCGGTCCTACGGCGCTGGAGCCTGGAAACCCGGAGACAGCATCCCAGAGTGTGGGTCCTCAGAAGCCTGTCCCCAGGGGGACCGAGCGCCGGGAAGAGATGGCGCTGGAGTGGTCGCCAGACACGAGGAGTGGAGGCACAAATCCCGCCGCGCCCCGGGC